AAAAAAGATCAGCAGTTGGTGTAATGGCTATGTCGCTGGACTCCCATGTAGTCAATCGTGGTTTGAGTCCTGGACCTGGTGACTTAAACTCACGCCGGATGTGTATGTGTGTGCATGCCCAAGATCCCAAGAGGAGAATGGAGGAGAAGGGATTGTGGTGTAGCCATCCCCTCTGGGGGGTGATTTCTTGCTTTCTGTCTGTTTCTCTGTCTTTCTGGCCAGCACACGTGCCCTATAGCAAAAACCTCTCCGAAGAAAAAAAAAAAGAAAAGAAATACTCTTGCCTCTACAGAAATATATCAAATCAGAGGATTGTTCTGCTTATATGACCATTTCACTAAAAAAATTTCTCCACTAAAGTAATGAGACCAAAAAAAAGGGGGGGGAGAAATAGATCAAATGAAAAACTGCCTAGACTTGTAAAATAAAGGACAGAAAAGAGAGAAAAAAAGAACAATAAGATTTTTTAAAAAATAAACTAACTTGCAAAGAATGAAACAGTATGAAAGGCAAAAGGTGATTTAAAAATCACATACTTAAAGCTTGAAAGAAGTCCAAAGAAGTACTTACTTATCTAACGAGCCATACATAAATTTCAAGGTTTGGACAACACTTTCTGTCATATTCTTTAGCTGAGGAAGAGGGACTCTAAAAAAAGCAAAAATACATGTATTAATACATCATCAAATGATACATATCTAAAAGAATCAAAACTCCTTACATTTCGTATGTATGTACTGTGGACAATACGTATGTCAACTATGAATAGAAATTTAAATAAAATTAAATGCGTATAAAGTAAGTGGTGCAGTACCTGGACCCACAGAAAGAAATTACTAAATTCTTGACACTTCCTGGTTTTACCTAGATCTCAACTGAACCTCCAACTCCTGTGATAAAAATATACTCTTCAGTGAAATGGAGAAAGGAAAGAAAGAAAGAAATGAACTTATATTTTGCCATTGAAGTCTTACGAGAATTCTATAAGGTAGGTCTTATTATTCCCACTATACCAGTGGATAAACTGAAGTCCAAGAAGCAACTTGGGCGGAGCCACACAGGGAGCAGAGCCTGTTGGTGAGCATCTATCTTAACGCTAAAGTGAATCTCTCTCCATTACCCCACCTTGTCGTCTTGGTTAGGTTCCTGCTATTCACTGCCGCCATCAGAGGAGGATGACCTTCCCACCTCAAAACACATGGCCCTGGATCATGTGTCCCACCCTAAGTTTGTGCGAGACAACACTTTACTTCTCCTCTAGTCAAAGACACAAGGGTGAGAAGAGAGATGCACAGGCTGTGGGATTTAGACAGATGAGGGAAAAATGTCAGGGCTGCCAGTTGAATTACAAATCACGTGCACAATGTATACAAAGAAATGCAAATTGACACTGGAAGTAACTGTTCATGATCTCTCAGTAGTCTTAGTTCCCAGTTTGAACAAATGAGAATACTACTACCCATTTTTCATGGTTATATGAAACAAGATGTAATAAGGAAAAAAATCTGGCACAAGGTGAGTGGTGCGAGAAAAGGGTAAAGAAGTGACTTGGCCTTATTTATTTAATGTATTTTTTATTGACATTAAGTTGTATATATTTATGGAGTCCAGTGTGGTTTTTCAATATGTGTATACAATGTGTAATGATGAAATCTGGGCCATAAGCGTACTGACCATCTCAAACAGTTGTCATTACTTTGTGTTGTGAAAATTCAAAATTCTCTCTTTAGCCACTTTGAAATATACATTGACTTACCATCAATACTACTCTGTGTTAATTAAGCACTCTAGAACTCACTGCATACTCCTGTACCTGTTAACCAAGTTCTTTCTATCCTCCCACCACCCTACCCCCTTCCCAGCATTCTGGTATCCACTGTTTCTACTTCTGTGTGATCAAATCTTTTACCTTCCACTAGTAAATTAAGAACTTACAGTTAGTTATCCTGTGCTTGCCTTATTTCACATAGTATTATTTTCAGAAGGTTTGTATATTTTGTTAAAAATGACAACAATGCAACTCTTTAATGGCTGAACAATATTCTATTATGTATATATACCCCATTTTCTTTATTCATCAGTTGTTGGATACTGAGGTTGATTCTGCTGCCTAAGCAACTGTGAATAGTGCTACAAAAACCATGAATGTCTAAGTATCTTCCCAGTTGAGTGTTTCCTACCCTTTGGGTATAAACCCAGTTGTAGTATTACTGGAGCATGAATACTTCTATTTTTAGTATTTTGAGGAACTGCCATATTGTTTTCCATAACAGCTGTACTAATTTACATTTCCACCGACAATGTAGGAGAGTTCCTCTTCTCTAAGTGATCAACAGTGATTCTAAGCCAGAACCAACCAGGTATATTGCTATAGGATTCCTTAACCACAAAAATATCTCTGAGATAATCAATGTTTAAATTACCACTAAGGTTTTGAGGGTGTGCTATGGCTTGTCTCCCCAAAGATTCATATTTTGAAATTTGGTCCCCCATGTAATGTTGTTGGGAGATGGTAAGACCTGTAAGAACTGAGGCTTAGTGGACCATGACTGGCTCACGGACGCATCACACTCAAGAATGGATTAACACTGTCTCATACATTCTAGCTCCTGTGAAAAGGGATTAGCCTGCCATCCTCTCTGCAGCTGTTGGCTGATGCCAGCCTCATGCCTTTGGATTTTCCAGCCACCAGAATTCTGACCCAAATAAAATAAACCTCTATTCTTTATAAATCACCCAGTCTCAGGTATTTCAGTAAGCAACACAACAGTAGACTGAGAGTAATTTGTTATGAAATAATATGTAACTAATACACTGTTATGTAATGAAAGCAATCTGGTTAATATAGTCACTAGTGGGAAAAAAATACTTATATTTGTGTTCAGAATGGCTGGATACTGATTGCTTTTTTTTCTGGTCTACCTTTCTCTTTCTTGAGAAGCTTAAAGCAACACCAGGAGAAAAATTATCTTAACTGGTGTTTACTGAAGTTATATTATTCACATACACAAGTATTTATTTTGATATTTGATTACTATTTTAGGTCATATGCCATGGTTCTACAGACCAGAAGGGGAAGTAAAGTGTTTTCAGTAGTTTAATAAAGTTGCCTGAGTACTTTTTACAGTAGGTGAGAATCTAAATTACAAGTTTTAAAACTCATTGAACAGGGCCATAAGACTATTCTAACAGTAGTTAAGTCGACTTCCTTGGGGCTGTTTTCCATATTAATACTCCATTCCCCACCTCCCTTGAATTCATTAGCCTCTGACATTAGGGAAGCAATGTAACTGAAAGAAATTAGACCCTTATTCAATTTCCATTTCTGCCTCTTGATGATTATGTATCCTTTGGCAAGTTATTTAACTGTCTCTTGGTTTTACTTTCTTCATCTGTAAAATGGAGCCAGTAATCACTAAATTAATCTGGAGCTGACTGTGAAGACTAATTGAGATTAATGAAAGTAAAGTACCTTATGCAGTCCCTGGGCTCATCATAAATGTTAATCCTGCTTTTACTGCCAACTATTAAAATAAAATAAATTTTAAAACACTTGTATAAAAGAGGGAGACCAAGCTAATATAAATCTACCATTAGATAAGTTATTTAAGAAGTGTGTATTCATGGAACCAGTAGATGGCATAATGGTTACGTCACTGAACTCCCACGTACTCCACACTGTTCGAGTTCTGGACCTAGTGGCTTAAAACACATGCTGGAAGTGTGTGTCTCCATGCCCAAGATCCAAAGAAGAGAAGGGACTGTGGCATGGCCAATCCTCAAGGGGTGATTTCTTGCTTTCTGTCTCACTGTCCCTCACTGTCAGATGAGCGCACTGTCAGATTAGCCTATAGCAAAAATCTCTCTCTCAAAATAACAAAAAAATAGAATTGTGTATTTATATGCATAATGTGTTCAGAGGTGCTCAACATTACCCAAAATACCTTTCTGCTGACCCTTAATTCTCTGAACTCTTTAACAAAAGTTAAAAAAAAAACCTGTAAGTACGCAAAATTCAAGTCACTTTCTCTCTATATATATATAAAATCTTTTTTTTTTTTTAAGAGAGATTTTTTGCTATAGGACATGTGTGCTTGCTGAAGAGAAAGAGAGAGATGAGAGACAGAGAAACAGCAAGAAATCATCCCCCGGGGTGATGGCCACAGTGCAGTCCCTTCTCCTTCATTCTCCTCTCGCAATTTTGGGCATGTATTCATGCCCAGTGTGAGTTACAAGCCACTGGGTTCAGGACTCAAACTGTAGTCATCCATGTCGGAGTCCCGTGATGTAACCATTACTCCATCCGCTGGTCTCCAAATCACAATATTATCAAAAGTCTAGGTATAGGACAATCTCATCTCTTCACCACTTCTACACTAGCTGCAAAAGAGGAAAGAATGTAGGAAGCCCCCACCATACTCCTTGTTTTTACTGGGTCTTTGTGACACCCTTCCACACCATACCAAATGAACACAGGCATTGTATTTTACTACTGCAACAGACCTTTAAATCATATAACTGTTTAAGGAGTTGGCCTTTGAAAAATTACCATAATTTTAATGAAACAGATTTTGTTAATATTACTTTAGAAATGAAATTAGAGTAAACAAAAATCTTGACTTACTCTTCAGCAGGCAGGCCAATTAACAACAACTTGTCAGAGTCTTTCCAATAAGCTACATTAATTTGTTTCCCATTTAAAAAGAGGGATGAGCTAAGAAAATAATAATTTCAATATAAGGTTAAAATATCTTTAAATGTCATAAAATTATAAAAATCATTCATAAAAGATTACATAAGGTCAGATTTAAGAACTCATGTTTAATAAGCAAATTTCTTGGCATATACCTAACTGCTACACAGAAAAGGCAAGGAATTGCATTACAATACAAATATATTCTAAAATATTGCATCACTGGGGAAGTCATTATGATTTTTGCATAGAAAAGCATATATAAATGTGTGTGTGTATATATATATTTTTTCCCCTCCCCAAAGAAAGCTTCTATATCTCTTGGTTAATTTAACAAACTTTTTGAGATTGCCATTTATGAACATCATTTGCTAAGGAGATTATAAAGAAAAGGACAAAAAGGTCCCAGTTCAGAAGAGACAATTCAATATAGGACACAGATCTACAAATAAGTAACCAAGATATAAGTCAGATTTAAAAGTGTTTGCAAGTCAACTTTTGGGCTGATGGATAAATTCATTGTCATAATGGTTATAGGATATAAACCTATGTCAAAACCAATCAAAGTGAACATTTCACATATGTGCAGCTCATTTTACTTCAATGACGTTGGAAAATTTAAATGTATTCTAAAAAGGATACAATAATGAATTATGGAAATGTAAAGAATATAAGAATGTGAAATTGGGACCAGCAGGTGGCACGGTGGTTATGACACTAGATTCCCAAATGGTCAACCCAGTGGCTTGAATATCATAACAAACAAATAAATACATAAATGTTAAGAAAAGAATGTGGGGGGCCAGTAGGTGGCATGGTGGTTAAGGGCACTGGACTCCCACATGGCTAATCACGGTTTGAGTCCTGGACCTGATGGCTTGCTTTCCCACTTTCTCTCACTCTGTCTCTCTCTAGTCCAATTACAATAAATAAATAAATGGACAAATGAAGTTAAATAATTCTTTAAAAAAAAGAATGTGGAATGAAAAATATGAATTATTAAAAGGACTTTTTAAGAACATTTATTTTAATAGTATAAAAATGCACAAATTATTAGATAAATATTAAACTCATATAGTCACTTATTATAGTTTAAAAATGTGTATGTAAACAAAAGATACATTACTAAGGAATCCCTGAAATAATAGTGTCAGTATTTATTGTTTCCTCAAAAAATGTTTTGGGCTGGCCTATGGTCTAGAGCTTAAAGATACTGGATCTCACATGGCCAGCTGTGCAATTCAAGTCCTGGACTCGGTGGCTTGAAAAGCACACCAGGTGCATGTACATGTGTGCCCAAAATCCTGAAAGGAGGGAGCAGTAGAGAAGGGATTGCAATGACCACGCTACACAGAGGGTGTTTCTTTTCTTTCTCTCTGTCTCTGCCTCTCTGGTGAGCACATGTGCCCTCTGACAAATAAAAAAAAAAAATATATATGTATATGTATATGTATGTGTGTGTATATATATGTATGTGTGTGTATACATATACTCTGTGTGTGTATGGTTATTACATATATATATATATACACACACACACACACACACATATATACTGGTCATAGCTAATCACATATTATATGATTCATTCATATGAAATATCCAGAACAGGGAAATCCGTAAGGATAGAATGTAGACTATTAGTTGCCTAGGGCTTGGGTGAGGAAGTGGGTTGACAGCTAAAAGGTACAGATTTCTTTTTTTGAGGCAATGAAAATGTTCTAAAGTGGACTTTGGTTATAGTTGCACATATTTGTAAACATACTAAGAACCATTTACTTATATACTTCAGATGGGTAAATTGTATCATTTATGAATTATATCTTAGTAAAGCTGTTAAAAAATTTTAAAACACCTGCAACAAGCTTTTATGAATTCAAATTTATAACTAGATGGTGCCTCAGGTACTTGTGCCTTGAAAATGAACTAATATTTTCTATATACACTATATAGGAAGTCAGAGTTAAGCATCACTTTAACCTAGGAAAATGAGGAAATTCTTTCTGCTGTCTTACAGATCTTACATCTTTTAAAATAATAGAAGTGTCGTGTTCACCAGAATATGGCAAAAGACAAGTTATAGCTTAGAAAATGCAACTTCATATTACTTTAGCATAATGGGGGCTCTTAAAGTTTGAAATAGACTTTCTTTGTAAGCTCTAAAATTGTTGAAATATTGAGAAAGAAAAACTATTTTTAATTCTTAATTTTATTTTATGAAAAACAAATAAACAAACAAAAAGAAAAACAAAAAACCCTCAAAAGTTTGAGCCCTCTCCTCCACAAGTTAATTATGACATTTTAAAGTCAGGTCTTGACATGGGCCCAGGAGGTAGCACATAAGAAAGGTGCTGTCCTGGGTCCTAAGCACGCCTGTGATTCAGGCTGGCTGACATGGTGAAAGACCTTACACTTAGGTGTCCCTGTCTTGCTTGCTCTCCCATGGGAGAAAAAAGAAAGCTTTTTTTTTTTTTAAGGAAAAAAGTCAGGGCTTGATAAATCATTGTGGAATGGGTATTTTGTTCTGTAACTGACTATATGATGCACTGTTTTTTGTTTTGTTTTTTTTGAGAGGTTTTTGCTAATAGGGCATGTGTGCTCGCCAGGAAGACAGAGAGAGATAGAGAGACAGAAAGAGAGAAAGCCCCCCCCCCCCCGCAAGGAGGATGGCCACATCGCAATCCCTTCTCCTCCATTCTCCTCTCGGGATCTTGGGCACGCACACACATGTGCCCGGCATGAGTTTAAACCACCGGGTCCGGGACTTGAACCGCGGTCGACTACATGGGAGTCCAGCAACATAACCGTTACACTAATTGCTGGTCCCAATGATGTGCTTTTAAAAAAAAGATTACTTGACATTGGTTTTGCTTATCCATCACTGAATAAATTTCACAGATCCACTGAATTCCGAATGTTCCTCCCAATGAAAATCCAGTATTTTTGTGTCATGGTTGTAAGAATATTTTTTAACTATATAAAAAATTGGGGGACCAGTCCATGGCCTGGTGGTTAAGGCAGCTGAATCCTATATGGTTGACCATGGTCTGAGTCCTGAACCCTGTGGCTTTAAAAACATACCAGGCATGTGTACATATATGCGCAAAATCTTGAAAGGAGGGAGAAATGGGGAGAAAGGGTTTGTAGTGTGACTATGTTCCATGGGTAGGAGCTTTTCCTCTCTTATCCCTCTCTGGAGAGTGCACACACTCTCTGACAAATTAAAAAAAAAAAAAAAAAATATTTTTTTTCTATCTATCTATCTATTTATCTATCTATCTATCTATCTATCTATCTATCTATCTATCTATCTATCTATCTATATAACAAATTTTGGTATCCAGTCATTTTTGCAAACTACAAAGGTATTGCCTAGCAAGTTAACAATCAAGATAAAAACCATGAAAAAGTCAAGACTCATTATCATGCCATGTTAAAGGACTTTCATGAAGGAATTATAAATATGGGATATTAGCCCAACTCTGTTAATGTGTTCCAAAACAGCTGTATTAAGAACACTTCAGGGCCTGGCAGGTGGTGTGGTGGTTAAGGGCTCTGGACTCCCACATGGCTGACCACGGTTCGAATCCCAGACCTGGTGGCTTGCTTTCTCACTCTCTCTCTCTTACTCTGTCCCTCTCTGGTCAAATAAAAATAAAGTTAAATAAAATAATTTTTTTTTAGAAAAAAAGATAGCTATAAAAAAACACTTCAAATGAAATAGATGAGTGGTGCAAATAACTTAAGATGAAGTAAAAATCTGTAGGTATCCTATCTGCCAATATATTGGTTATTGGAAAAGTCATGATATATTTTTCTATGAAAAAATTCGTCATTATGTTTCTGATAACCCAATAGATTCCCACATTATTGATACAAATCTACTTGTATAATAGATATTTCTTTTAGTTTTTTATTTATCAGAGCCAAAGAAGAGAACTTGAAAGAAACAGAATTAAAGCTAAATATAAATACTTACCTAGTAACTTGTGTCCCAGTTACATTTTCCAGCATGTCACAGAGTGTGAGAAAAATTCCTCTCACGCTTTTCAGTTTCTGAGCTGCTTCAGATGTTGGATAATGATAAAGAATTTCCTGCTGTTAAATGAAAGAAGACAGAAATGATCAACACTCCCCCTGAAATTTTTCAACCATTATTTTTGTCATGGAAAGTTGAGAAATTGTATTAAGAGAAGAACAAAAAAGTGAATCCTTTCAGCTTCAATGGGAGTTTCATTCAAACACATGAAAGAACTATGTATGGAATTTTACCATATTAACTAGCATTTAAAATACTACATTTTAAAATAAGTTAGAGACTCTTATAATTGGTCATGACACTAAGATATATACTGAGCAGGATACTTATTGATGAATTGAAATTATGTATTAGTTTCAAACAGCATTTTAAAGTTTAATCTGCTTAATAATTTATAACATTAATGTTTTATTTCAAAATATATTCTCATTCTTTATGGTTATATAGCTACACAAATACTACATGTAACTTTTAGGTGTCTTTAATTCAGTTACTTTCACATTGACCTTTAAAAGATAATCAGCAGCAGCATCATCTTTAGGAAGAACATTAAACGTTTAAGCCCAAAATAAAACCACACTTAGACTTACAAAGTGAGAATACAAAACTAAATTTGGGTAGTACAGGAAGAAAGAGAAAGATAATATGATATTATAAAATCCTGTATCTTAAATTTTAAAGGGTTTGCATATCACAAATTAATATAATTCAAACTAAAAGCACATTTTTAAAATTATGGCAAATATTAGGTCTATGAGATAATTCACAAAATGTTTAATATTTTTATATGTTCAAGAAGAACATATTCCTAGGCAACAAAGAGTTTTTAGAAAATAAAACAACAAATTCCAAAATCAGGATGTGCACTGTGCTGATAATTTTACATAAAGAGATTTTGCTGTTACTTACAGTGACATCCTCATAAGCCAAATTAAAAGCAGGCAAAATAAAAATTTTTAGACAGAAACCATGGAGAATTCAGAATAGCTTCTAGTTGCACTGTTTAATGATGATTACCATAAATATTAATATATCCACTATTGAAAGCCCAACTCCATAAGTACATCTTTTTCTTGGTGCTCTCTATTGCTAAAGAGTATTATATACTTTGCTTTGGTCTCTTTCTATAAGAAATAATTACATGACATAGAATCCATGTCTTGGCAACTTATTTATTTTTTTTTGAGAGGTTTTTGCTATAGGGTGTGTGTGCTCAAAGAGACAGAAAGCGAGAAATCACCCCTCAAGAGGATGGCCACACTGCAATACCTTCTCCTCTATTCTCCTCTTGGATCTTAGGCACGCACACATGTCCAGTGTGAGTTTAAGCCACTGGATCCGGGACTCGAACCATGGTTGACTACATGAGAGTCCAATGACTTAGCCATTACACCAACTGCTGGTCCCTGTCTTGGCAACTTCTACATTATGACAATTATGATAATGATATACTAGACACATCTGCTTTTTTTACTTACTGAACACATTCAGTATATGCAAATTGCAGTGGAATATGTTAGCCAAGTAATTCTTCCTAACAACTCAAAATTTCTTGCAATATTTTTAGTGTGAAAAAGTTATGAAACATTATTTTATCACTGGAAATAAGATCTTCTGTTATGTCTAATAAAATGAAGCCATGACCAGTAAATTATTTTGCTGTATTTAGCTAAAATACTGAACGTGCCTTGAAACAAATAACCGTATACTCTTTAATTAGTCTTTTGAAACCTCCCAACTTATGGCCCTTACATTTCTAAATCTTCAAACTTGAAGACAAGCTTTTATTAAATGTATAACTCACAGAAAACATAATAATCCTATATTTTATTGTAAATAAGTTAAGAAGAGATAATTTGAGAACATTTCTTATTCTAGCCCCAAGAGCCTCACTGTTAAAGACCTGGCAAGCTCTACAGTTCCTAACCAATTTAATTAGCTGTATTTTTAAGCACTTGTTAGTAGCATGCATTTGCAGTAGCTTCTATTCTGTTCAATAGGATAAAAAGCCTCTCCTAATTATAATGTTGATACAGGGCTGGCAACAGAAAAAAAACCTGTTCATTTGAGAAACATCTACACACTTTCCCATGGAAATAAAGGCAAGGATGACAAAAGGTCTGAGCAGTATCCTACTGAAGAATGACCTAGAAAGACTCGCGATGTTATTATCCCAGAAACTTGTCTGGTTTCAATAGTAAATGCTTAAATGTGTCACTTGTTTCAAAGATACAGTGGATCACTAATACAGAAATTAAAATGATTAACTCTAGATCTTTGTATTATTCAGAATACACAAAGTACAAAAATACATGCAAGTAAATCTCCTCTTTGGTATGTCATTTGTTTACTGAAATTTGATACATACAGTGACACAAAGAAATGTATCCCTTGGACAAAATGGCTTTGGCATTGAGAATTCAGGCTGAAAGGATTTCAAAAGCAAAGAAATGTAGATTAGTTAAAAACTTTTCAGCTCTTACTTCTGCTCAAAGCATGATGGTAGACTAGATGCTGTGAGAGACCCTCATACTATAATCCTATATCCATGTCCAAAACATACTTGTTGAATTGTTGGCATGTAAGAAGTGGATGGGTTTTCAAGGACATCCTCCTCATATCCTTTCAACCACCTTCTCTATTGTAAAGGCTAGCTGGGGGCTCAGTTGGGAGTAGTGAGGAGTGTGCAGAAAGATGGCAGCAGGGTGCTCCCAAGGGCTAATGCCCAGAACAGCTTCAGTCAGGACACTGAGCACTGGGCTAGTGGCAAGGTAGGTAAAATGAGCCTAGGTGCACCGTTTTAAGCTCAAACCCTTAAGTCAGCCTGAAGTGCCCTATGTCAGTGGCAGAAGCAGAAGCGGCAAATTCTCTGTGGAGGAAAGCATGCCTACTTTCAAACCACAGGGCTCCCAAAGATAAAAGCAAGCACTAAGTTTAGAAAAGGAGTCCCAAGGATGTAAGTAGGCAAGTCACTGCAAGTAAGAGTGCCCCCAGGACCAGAGTTGCTAGGTAGTGGATACAGAATAGAGAAGAGCCATGTCTGAATGCTTGGAGAGGTCAAGCACAGCATCACAAAGATGAGCAAGCAGCAACAGCCCCCCACGGCTATCATGGCAGATTTGAATTATAGATCAGTTAAAACTTCTCAGGAACTTTCAAAAATAAAAACTGTTTAAATAGAAAACACAATGGAGAGGTTAAATAAGTCTGGATGTAGCAAAAAGAAGAAACTAGACAAAGAAAAGGCACATTGCTTACAAAGAAATGACAGACTAAGAGATCTTTTAACAGCAATAATGAAATCAGAAGATATGGGAATACTATCTTCAAACATATCTTTATGACATATACATTTAATAATATTTATGGTCTTTGTTTTTTGCAGAGGTTTTTGCTACACGACATGTGCGCTTGCCAGAGAGACAGAGAGAGGCAGAGACAGAAAGCAAGAAATCATCCCCCAGTGGGGAGGGCCAGGCCGCAATCTCTTCTCCATTCTCCTCTCAGGATCTTGGGCATGCATGCACACGCGCCTGGCTTGAGTTTAAGCTACCAGGTCCGGACTTGAACTGAGGTCGACTACGTGGGAGTGCAGCAACATAACCATTAATCCAACTGCAGGTCCCAATATTTATGTATTTATAATGCATAAAATAAAATAATTAGTAGCAGTGGTATAACTATACAGAATTTTTTTGAAAAATAAAGGAATAGCACTAAAATATTGGTGACAATATCATGTATGTGAAAAGGCAGGTAATTGGAATTAAGGCATACCAAGGGCCTTGAATTCTTTTGACAAGGAGTTAAGAGAGTGTTTAGAGGCCAGCATGTGGTGTGATGGTGAGGGCCTGGGACTCCCATGTGGCCAATCTCAATTCGAGTCCTGAACCTGGCAGCTTGCTTTCTCACTTTTTTTCTTTCCCTCTCTCTCTCTGTCCCTCTCTGGTCAAAATGAAATAAATAAAGTTGAATAAAATAATTCTTTTTTTTTTTTTTTAAAGAGAGTGTTTAACTGTAGAATCTGTCAAGACAAATATCATGGCAAAATTTTAAGAGTAATCAAAATAGAACCAACAGATGGCAGAATGGTTATGTCACTGGACTCCCATGTAGTCAGTTGACCATGGTTCCAGTCCTTGACCCGGCAACTTAAAACTCACTCCAGATGCGTGTGCATGCATGGCCAAGATCCCGAGAGGAGCATGAAGGAGAAGG